CCACAAGTCCTTTGCCAGGTTGTAGGTAGGTGTACCTGGAAGGAGTGTGGGCCGGCTTCGTTGATGACACGTCGCTCCCATCCACATGCCTCCCTGTCTTATTCCTTCGGGTTTACACATACATATGGGTGTTTTGTTGGGACTGTGGGTGGTGCAGCGCAAGCCAACCGTGCTCTCTCTGTAGACGCAGTCGTCCTGTGACTGTCCCTGTGGAGGCCCAGTGACAGGCAATTCCGAAAACGCATGCTGCCAACCTTGTATATATGTGTGCCCCATGCTGAAGCTGATGTTGCATTCATGATGCTTCTTCACCGCAGTTGGGCTAGACCAATTTCCACTTAAACTAGATCTTTTTAAGCTGGATAAATTTCATTCCACATTATTTGGTTTGTTCTGCCTACCTGAATAATATTCTATTCAGAACCACCAATTCGGTTACGGTCCTTGTGATCGTAATAACCGAGGTCTACTTCAAAGAGGACCGGGGTCTGAATAAAGATTGTAAGTAGCAAACCAACTACACAACGTATATATATATATATATATATATATATATACGTACATATACGTATATATATACGCAACGTATATATATATATATATATATATATATATATATATATATATATATATATATATATATATATACCATACTTCGATCACCATGCGGTTTAGAACGATCTGCATGATCTGTGAGTCTGCACTGAGCAAGGCAATATCCTCAGCGTAGTCCAAGTCCGTTGCGCGATTGCCTGGAAGAAGCACTACGCGAGAACTCTGGCGACCATCCAGAGCGCTTAATAAGACATTTTCAATGGACATTTTAAAGAGAAACGTGACATGTGGCATCCCTGTTGCACACCGATCGGGTCGGCGAAACTTGTAGAGCGCTTACCGTTAGCTTTCACTCTTCCAAAGACATTATTGTATAAAGCTCGAAGTATAGCGATATACTTTTCGGGAGCTCCATTCCTTTACAAACAGAGCCATAGTGCCGGTAGATCTGCCGAGTCGAACGCAGCTTGGTTGTCCTAAAAGATGGCCATGGTAGGTTGACACTAAAGGTCCGCTGCTTGATGGGTTGGCGGAGCGTAAATTTGTGGTCCACACTCCCTCGACCGGGGCGGAAACCCGCTTGTTCCTGTCTTATCGGTATTTGCCTGCGCGGTAGCATGGATGTTGGAAATTTGAAGGTGACGAATATTACGCTACCTTCTCTGGGGTTAGCGCAATAGGTACGCGGACTCTTTTTGAAGATGTGTGCGATGATCGACTTACCCTAAAAGGGATCAAACCTTCTCTTCACACCAGATCTTCGTGAACAGAGCTGATAACTGGTTTTCAATCGTCTTGCCGCCGTACTTGAGCAGCTGCGGAGGAACTCCGTCTAACGCATTAGTTTTGGGTGACTTCAAGTGAGCAACTTCAAGACAGACCTTCACTTCAGTGAGTGGTTTCAATGAAACGTTCCAAGGCGTTCAAGTTGGTCCACTTGCTTAACATCAGAAAGGAGGTGGCCAACTGAATGAATGGAAGGGCTCAGCCTACGCAAATTGTGAGTGCAGGAAACTCCCAGCAAACTGGAGCCACTCCGTTATAAACCCCATTTTCAAAAGGGGCTCACGTTCCGAATGCAACAATTCTGAAGGGTCACTTAAATCCCAACTGGCACTTGGAACCTCCCGAAAACAACAGGACCCTTCCGTATGACATTGAGGCGGAATCACCAGAAAGCAAAGCTTACTCGTTCTTCACAAACTCATTAAACCCCAGAAGATGCTCGCCTCTGTGGTTCTTTATACACTTGCTGGCACCCCTGGAGGGCAGATGGGTGAAGATCAAGTCCGGTTTCCTCGAAGTCGCGGCTGTATTGGTCACATCTTCACATTACATCAATTGTTGGAATAGCACCATCTTTATCGGCCAAGCACCGTGGTCGTGTTCGTCGACATCAATTGTGCCTTCGATTCGGTGGATCGATGTGCCCTGTGGGATTGTCTGTTCACGAAAGATATGCTTAAACATTATCAGAGGTCTATCCACGCGTCACTTGAGCAGAGTGAAGGCTTACACCAAGCTGTTACTGTCCTTCGATATCTCCAGCGGTGTGAGACAGTGACATCTGCTGCCACATTTCTGCCACACTTCTCAATCGATGAAGTCATACAAACAGTGTTCACTGGACACGACCCACGAGGCATGCAGCTGCTCCCTAGTGATCGATCTCATTTTTGGAGTATGCAAACAATATTGCCATTATCTGTGACAGCTCTCAAACGTTCCAAATAGCAGTGTGCGAATTAGCATTGGCTGTCAATCGTTTAGGGCTATGCTTCGCACCCTCGAAATCCAAAGTTCTCCATGATTTTCGGGGTGCCACCTCTGCGCTGACCCTTGGTGCTGATATAGTAGGAGTCATCTAGGCTAGGCATCGCTACATCACACACCAAGCTCTGATGGCTCGGCCACGTGTTGCGCCTGCCGCATCGTGCGCCGTTCGCGCGACCTGCGTGTGAATGGAAGTGGAAGAGATGAAGCCAAGCGATGGTTTGGTCAAGTGGAGTGAAGTTGGTGTCCGTTGTTGTCTCCTGACCCCCTGGCTAGAGACTGAAAGATGACGAACACGTTCGGTTGGAATCGATGGTTGACACTACGAGGAGTCGGCCTCTGGCGTTTTTTCTTCCCCTTCCCGCTTATCTGCCTTCTCCCAGCACAATCTCATTCTTGAGGCCTAAGATGTCTATAAGAAATACATTACCTATTGTCATTTTATATTAAATAATTTTTGTGTCTCGTTTTCCATGTATCTTATCGTTTGTATTGCGGCACGATTATTGGTGTATTTCTTACCTGCAGCTAATGTATATTGATTATTATAATGCCTCTGATTATGATATACATTGCGCCACACATTTTCCGCCCTGGTTAGGAGCTCCCACGCGCACATTGGGACATACATGCGTCCACAACAAGCTTTCCTTGCTAAGTTGAATCAAACTACCTGCAGCACTTTCTCCCTTTTACCTTACTGTTTTGTTGGCTTTAAGCAATACTATTAGAATTCATTCTGCCCCACGCACTATTGGCACCATTAGCCATTGCACCAATTTAGTCGTGAATTCATTCGTTATGGAGGATACGTATGTTTCCATGAAATACCAAAGAAGTTGTTGCTCAAACTGCCCACCGTCTTTTTGCCTGCAGAGCAGCATTCGCCGGATGCTATAGGCTAGCGCTTTTCGCAATGTCTCCACCACGATCCCGCTACATTTTTCTGAATGTTCCATTTCAGTTCTTTAAGCCTATTGAGTCTGGTTCTATAAATTCTTCGTTTCAAGTACCGCCTAGGAAGAAATCCAGGACGTTCAAATCTGGTGACCACCCTATCGGTCCTTTCCGGCCGATCCAACGTTGTCCAGAAGTCTCGTTTAGGTAACCACATACCGTTTGTACATAATGTGCAGGTTCTCCATTTTGCTGCCACCAAACGGTGTTCAATAACCCTTCGGCGTCCATCTGTGGAATCCTATAGGTCCGCAACATTTTATTGTACGAAGCTGATAAGAAATTTACTGCATTATTTCTGTTCAACAACAACTCACCGGTCACATTCTTAGAAACGGAAAATGGTCTTACGATTTTTTTACCAGTTAACCCAGCCCATACCATAATCTGTGTGCAATGTTGCATACGGGAGGCGATGCATCGTCGTGGGTTATTGGTTGCTCAAAGTTACCGCTTATCTGCGCCATGCAGACGGAAAACTGCCTCATCGGTAAATATAATGGAATGTACGTCTATGGTATTCAAATACCAGCGAGAAATTTCCTGATTCTTCTCCGAATCGCACGGGTTTAAAACTTGAACCTATACTGCACTATTCCTTCGGAGTTTCCTTTTCTTTAGTATCCGGTGCACGGCATATGATATGGTAACGCAATGTTGGATGATTCGCCGAATGCTGAGATCACTCCCTGAATACCTCATATATAACGACGCAAGCTGAAACCTCACCCGTGGTGGTGCCATGCGCCCGGTTTGTTTAGCATTGCATACACTCCTAGTTTTATCAAACGTATTCACCAATCGAAGCACATACCGGTCGTTAACGGGCCTCATTGCACGGTTGATAGTGTGGTAACGCCGTGCGGTTTCTGCCTCTTTGAATTCGCACTCATCATAGAGGCGCACACTGAGCAGCCGTTGATCTGCAGGCACGTTACGTGAGTGCGGTTGCAGCTAGAACAATGACATCCGTGTATGCTCGTGCCCCATTGTTCAGACAGGGAACCGATAACCGTATGACTGGGATCACCCTGGCATGCTTATTGATCTGACTGAGCGCCATGTATATATCGATCTGCCCACCCATCGTAACAAGACTTCTAGCGGTGATACATCCGTGTTGCTCATGCACTCCTCCATCAGTACAGAACGCCATAACCGGTTTCTTCTGTCCGCACCACTAAGCTAACCAGATTCGTAGCGGTGATTCATCCGTGTTGCTCATGCATTCTTCTATCAGTGCAAAACACCTGCTCCGTTTAATCTGTCTTCCCATCCATCGCAACAAGACTTGTAGTGGTGATGCAGCCGTGTTGCTCACACCTTCCTTCATCGGTGCAGGATGCTATAACCGCCTTACTCTCTGCACCATTAATGTAACAAGACTCGTAGCGGCGATGCAGCCGCGTTGTCCAAACCTTCCTCCATCAGTGCAGAACGTCAAACTCCTGTGACTGGGTGAGCGAAATATCGGCAAATCAACATTTGCTGTTAGACAGTTATCAATTTAGCGTGCTTTCATGCCACGCAAATGCGTGCGACGGTTAAACAAGCTCCTCATGAAAATCCAATCAGATTTTCGAAACACACTCTATATTATGTGCGTATGTAAGCTATAGAATCTCCTTTAATTGTTACTTTACACTTACCTGTACGTACTTGCAACTCTCTCGCTTTTGCCTGGTGTTTCTTGTTCGCTTTTCTTTTTCTTTCAGATTGATTGCTTCTGTTCAAATTGAATATGGCATGTTTCGCCAGTTCGGTTCCTCCGGCCTTAAACCCTTCAAAGTTAGTCCAGATGCCTTCGTACAGGTGAGTAGATTGCTTTTATCCTACTCAACACTCGATTCGCTTCCCTGCGTTAAATCTCCGTTATTGCATGTCTCATCCACCAACGATATTTTCACGATTAACGGAGCCATGCGTGATTTCACTCGCCTCCAGGTTGCTTTGCAATTGACCTACGCTCGTCTCCATCCCGATTTACCCCCACCACCCACGTACGAGAGCGGCTCCTTGCGTAGATTCCATCTCGGTCGCACCGACACTATTCGATCGTGCAGCCAAGCGACTGTTCAGTTCACGCAAAGTATGCGAGATAACGTAAGTTATCCCTTCTCCTACACGCCTTCCGATCCAACTTTCACCGATTGTTATGGCTATTCTCGTTGTGCTGCACCGCTTGGTATTCAGGAACCAATGTTTTTGACAGAGACTGACTGCGAAGAGTTCTCTCAGAAATCACAGAAACCCTCTGACGACCCACGCACTACGAAAATGTATTCATGGTGCAGCACTATCTGGAGTCATACCGAACATGCAATCATTTGAAGTTTCATACATTATTGTGTTGTCCTGTACTTAGTCAGTAAAGCTAAATAACGGTTGCGCTTCGAGGACTAGACCCCACAGCCCTTTCTCTGGTTATATCAATTTTATGATAAACGTTGCTGTAGCGACGAGACTGGGCCTGAACGTGGTACAACGGTTTGCGTACCACTTTAACTCATTAAGCTATACTGGGTGGTGCCCCCGCATCCCTTGAGAGATACTCTTACCAGGTTGATCAGTGGTTAGCGGTCAGAAAAAGTCAGTTTCCTGCTCCTTTTAGTCCCCGATTTGCAGTCGGATGGCGTCCATTTCTGTAAACCTAACTCCCCGCTGCCTTGCGGAAACGCCTTTAAGCCAGAGGCTTTGGTTGAGGACCCTAATTGTCCTCTTGTCTAAATCTGGGTGCCATGGCAGTATCTCAACCTACGTACAACCATATCTGTTTCCTCACACTTCGGTCACATTTGCACCGGGCATCGCGCAACTTATCAAGGGCCGCCTTTTATGTTGCATATAGAGTGGCAAATAAGCGAAAACATACTACTGCCAGCGCATCTTTTCTTTCCGCGTGTTTCTCTTACTCCCTTGTCAACTCCAATTACTAGCTTCCCTTATATAATTCCCAGCTTATTTAACAGCAGCGGTAATGCCACTACACCTTTTCCTCATTGATTGCATTGCTCCTTAAGGGTCCGATTTGCATCCGTTAAACGATTGAACCTAGTACTTGACGCATTTGAATTGCATCCAGTGTCTTTCCGACGCGCCATGTGCGCACAGTGACCTTGAAACTGAGCCAGCACAAAGCAACCAATGACGCTAGATGTAACAACACTTGCATGGATATTATGAGTTCATGGTGTGCAGTGAAGACGGTTGCGCGTTTCATTAAGCGACGAGTGCCTACTCTGAACCTACTTCCACGCAGGTTAAGGGCACAAGGTTATTCGAACACGTGATGCGCTGGGTGGAGGGTTGAGTGGGCGTATGTACGTAAAGGCATGCTTTGCGCACGGCACTGGTGGGGAGGGGGCTGCGAACAGAGCAATGCGACACCCCATTAGCGACCTTATGACTAATTTGGCATTGTGGGATTGATCCCACAATGGTTAGGACGGCCTACCAGGCTCTGGCATACGACTGCGCTGTGTTCGGATAGCAAGACAGTCACAAGTGCATGACTGCGAGTGCTTGTGGTCTGTGGTGCCAAAAATGCCATGGCTTGCTTGCGAGTAAAGCGACAGCAGGGGCTTGTGCAACTTGCCAATAAAATTTGGGTTGACAGGTGGCCACTTTGGGTAAGAGAGAAACGTCTTGAGCGGCACTCTGCTGTGAGGGCTAATGCTTAAATATGACTGCGTCAGTTTTGTTACTGATTGGCAGAAATTGCTATCCGTGCGCACCACCCCGCTTTTGTCAAGAGCAGAATACTGAAGACTTACCTTAAAAGAGACAACTTGGAGCAACTTGCATGTTTACTAAACCTTAACTTGGAAAGCTGCTGCAGTTGGATACGAAGAGTGCCATCAGTTGAACGGAGGGAGTCATGGTGGGGGCCACGAAGATCACTGACAGAAAGCCACATTGTTCGCTTGGTAGAATGGGTCTCGTCGGAACCGACGGTCACTCTTTAAACACTTCGCCTGTGGTTAAAAGTTGTGTTCATGCTGGAGGTGAGTGTTAACACAATAGTGTGACACTTGAACCGAAGGCTGATAACAGTGAACAAATTGCGCACAGGAGAGCGAAAGGCTAAGACAATCCTATGTCTTGGCACTGCTGCAATCGGAGGTCGAAGGGAGACGGGCGGTGTGGGTTGATGAAACAAATTTCAATCTCTTTTGTGTTCGCATCAGAGGCTATTGACCACGTGGAACCTTCTTCTTACTGCGGCCTTCATAACCGATGGCTTGATAGTGTTGACCACTATGAGAGGAAGTTTCAACAAGCAAATGTGTGCGCAGTGATTACATTGATTGCTGGATGCCAGGGGTTCGACTTTTGTCGAAAACTGCCTCCTGATCTGCGATAATGTGCCATGCCACACGAATCTGCAACGCGTATTACAAAGGGAATCGTACCGTTCGGGCAGCCTCCTGCGTTCTGCTGCATGTTTTCCATCACTTAACCCAGTTTAAGGCATTTGGCGCATCATAAAAGCATATGTGAAACAAGTTATAAGGTAGAGATATTCCGAGATGTTTCAGGAAGATCCTGAGTATGTACTCTGCAACACCGAGTAGAGAATGTGTTTCCTGGAGCGAATTATGTCAGACGCACAAGCGTGCGTGACGTCCTAGCACTGCCAACACATGGTAGTTCATGTGAGTAGGAATTACGTTGGCGCAATGCATAGTACCGCTTTGTAAATTGCTCCTATTTTGTTGAGATAAATATAGATAATTCGAACTGGTATTGTCATTGCTATGCGACGCGAATCCATTGTTTTGACACCCTGGTATAAATGATTGTGTTCAGGCTAAGTTTTGTCGCAAAGTGTTCTCGCATGTTCCCGCGTTAGGCGTTGCGGGACGACCAGATAATTCCTAACAAGCAGGACCAAAGTGCTCCTAATCATGAGAGGTCGTGTGTTGTGACGTACATGGCTAGTTGATGGAGGGGGAGTGGCACATAGTTGGTATTACAAAGGGGAATGCCATACGCAGAAAGAGAGGGGTTGTTCTATTTATCGTTTGGTTAAGCACTATCGCGAATAGCTTGAAATTGCATACTGTCGTAGTTTACATATTGCTGCATGAGGACAGGCATTGTGAGATACGCTAAGGCACCGCGTCGTATGTGAGGCACTAATTCACCTAAGGATGCGAAATAGCTGTTTGTCGCTTATTGCCAAGCCTTTCAGACGGCTATGCGGTCAACTGCGTTGATTTCAACGCCTAAATTGCGCAAATGTAAGCGATGCATCATGAGTCGTATGCCAAAGCCTGGTAGGCCGTCCTAACCATTGTGGGATCAATCCCACAATGCCAAATTAGTCATAAGGTCGCTAATGGGGTGTCGCATTGCTCTGTTCGCAGCCCCCTCCCCACCAGTGCCGTGCGCAAAGCATGCCTTTACGTACATACGCCCACTCAACCCTCCACCCAGCGCATCACGTGTTCGAATAACCTTGTGCCCTTAACCTGCGTGGAAGTAGGTTCAGAGTAGGCACTCGTCGCTTAATGAAACGCGCAACCGTCTTCACTGCACACCATGAACTCATAATATCCATGCAAGTGTTGTTACATCTAGCGTCATTGGTTGCTTTGTGCTGACTCAATTTCAAGGTCACTGTGCGCACATGGCGCGTCGGAAAGATACTGGATGCAATTCAAATGCGTGAAGTACTAGGTTCAATCATTTAACGGACGCAATTCAATTGCAGTATAAATGCAATCACTTAGGAAAAGGTGTAGACTCGAACCGACTGCAGCTGCCTTCTCCCACCACCCATTAGACGCCTTTCGGCAACAGTCCCTTGTAAGTCCACTCTCTCATTTCCTTGATGGCATTCAACGTTCAGACTCTGAAACAATTAAGGCTGCAGGCTGCACTTGCCCGCACGTTGGACACACTGGGTCTAGACTTGTGTTGTGTTTCCGAAACTAGGATCAATGACTCTCATAGGGTTGTTGAATTAACTGTTGCTGGCTTGTCCTTTCTCTATTGGTTGCACGCATCCGGAGACATTGATGTAACACTCATGAATCAAACTGGGGTGATTATCGTATTCAGCTCCAAGGCTGAGTCGTCATTGGTTGATTGGATTCCATTGACCAGCCGTTTGTGTGCAGTCCGTTTGACTACATCGAATAAATTTGACTCACGAAGTGGTACTAGACGCTGTTTGTTTGTGATTTCTTCTTATGCCCCCAACGACTGCAGCTATGATGCTGCCAAGCACACATTCTGCGACGAACTAATCACGCTACTACAGTTCCACGAGTTCATATATTGTAGTACTTACAGGGTATATGGATGCACAGGTAGGTCTCCTGAGCATTTCGGAAGCTCAACTAGCTAGTAACTATAGACTTAACTCTCAACGGTCGGACAACGGCGAGCGCCTGTTCTAGCTGTGCGAAGAGAATCATCTGTTGCATAGCAACACTGCTCTCAGACACGTTGGGCGCCGAAACGCAACTTGGCGCCCTCCTGTAGCTGACCTGTGGTGGACCAAAATTGATCACACTTTTATAAGCTACAGGTGGCGTGATTCCCACCTGCATGGTCGGTCGTTCTTGAATATTTGCGTCGGTTCTGACTATGCCCTGGCACGCCGTTGTTTTTCCATGTACTTTACGAAGAGACATACCAAGCGTCTCTTTAGGTTGGTAAGTGGGAGGTTATCATAACCTTCGATCAAGCAAGCCCATCAGGATGCCATGCGTATCAAACATTTGCTCTATCGTCGTAGTGGCTCAGAGCTTCAGTGGAATAGATAGACCACCATGCACAGCGCAGGAGCCTCTGCTTGTGGTACTATCAGTGGTTTCCGTATCAGTCACTGGATATCCGAGAGGTCCGTGAACCTGTTGGGACCAGACGGACTATTAGGCGCGAACTAAATTCGGAGTCTGCTTGCTGACAAGTAAGTCTGGCGAACTAGTCGAGCTGAAGAAATGGAGGAAGCAGGAGCAGTGTGCAACTACCGCAAACTCACCCAACTGATCCGCAACACCAGTCCCAGGAAACCTGGCGTCAGTGAGACAATCAGAGATAGTACGGGTGCACTGATACACCATAAGAACCACCGTATGGCTCGCTGGGCA